GAGATGGATCTTTTAGTTCAAATTAGGGATTTAAGCGTGACTTATGAGGTTACCCTTAGTAGTGTGAGACTAGGTATGACTCGAATAACTAGTGGATTGTTAAAGGAAAATTGGAGGAACATAATTTGTTGATTCATTTTGGTGATAAGATATGAGGCTATAGGACAAGATAATGAATAAGTGTTTACCTTGGGTATAGATGAAGTGGTAAGACTTTGAGATCGAGTATGTGTATCTAGTGAACCTATGCTTAGGTGGTTGATCTTTAGAGAGGGTCATAGAAGAAAAGCTAATATTATGGCAGATGCCTTGAGTAGGATGATTATTCACCTATCATCTTTGATGATTTAAGAGTTGAATTTGATTCAAGAACTTAGAAACTTAAGCATGATGTGTGAGCTCACCCTTAGGAGCATTGGATTTAGTATGTTGAAAGTGACTAAGATCCATCTCTCTAATCATAAGGAAAGGCAAATATAAAGGTTCCCTACTCAAAGCATCGATCACCACATTGGCTTTACCTAGATAACACAACTAAGATTAAAATCCTAGTCCTTAAGAAATTTCAACTATCTCCTTTGGTCAAAAGATATTTAAGGCTCTAATGATCACTAAACACCTCAAGCTTAGAATCATCTAGGTAGTGTCTCCAAATCTTAGTGTAAATATCATAACTGGGTTTTTGTCCTAGCGGGCTTTTGACAAACAATGTCTTCAAACATGATACTCCTTTTCCATATTATAATTATCTTGATAAGAAAATTCTATCCACTTGCTCTACACGTTTGAGATTTGTCCTCCTTCTTAGTAATGCTGGATGGGTCATTTGATGATGATGCTTGGATTCTCACGGACCCCCAACACGGCTTCATCCTTGTTGTATGGGAAAAGGCCCGATGTCTTGATAGTTAATTTTGGCATTCCTTTCCCGTTGCCCTTTGGATAATAACTAGTTTCACCATTGAGCGTGCCCCGTTCCATCGTGTGGACTTGGCTACTAGCGACTTACTTTCCATTACTTCCGACTAACGGACATAGGTTAATTTCCCTTTTTATTCTCATTTATTCTTTTACAAGGAAGAATATGTTCTAAATGAATGTAATGCAGAATGTAAAGAAAGTTGATAATTAATAAATATTAGTCTCATTGATTTATTTATCTATGAATGCTCAAATAGATTTTGGCAATATTAAGCGAGAATCTATATTGGATTCTAAGAAGACTTACTTCAATAAACATATCAAAGCAAGGGCTTATTTTTTTAAAAATTGATTTGGTTTTTTCCTTTAGAGCGCAAATATTGTCGTATATTAGAGCATTCACTTTTCTTAAGTTTCTCTACATGTTGCTAAAACAATAAAAATGAGAGTGTAAATAGTGAGAAAATAAAATAGAAGAATGAAGTTGAGAAGGAGAAAAAGAAAAAGAAGGGAAAGGAAGTCATTTCCACTATTCCTGTAAGAAACTTACCTTGTTAGAAAAGAATGGCACAATCCAAGAGGGGGAGGGAGTGAATTGGATTCTATGACCCTTTAAAAATTTCAGAGTATTTTGGATCTTTATTTCACTTAAACTTTTCTAAGACTGAATTTTCAGATGAAGCTTCTTTAAAGACTTGTTATAGAAGAATGAATTATATATGCTTTCTTGATTACAAAAATAATGAGGTTCAAATGTAATGCTTTAATTCAATTTAAACCACCAATATTCACACACACATGCTAATCAAGAATCATCTTCTTTAATGTACAATCAAGATATTACTCAAAGTAAAAGATAAAGGTAGAAGAAGATTGCACAAGTCTTTTATCCTGGTTCAGCCACTCCACATGTGACCTACATCCAGTCCTCAATCAGAACCTGATCAAGATTTGTTCCACTATCTTAATGAAGAAGGTTTACAAGCATACCACACATGCATATACTTCAACACTCAAGATAACCACTTTCTTGACCCCAAGAAAGCACCCCTTGTAGAAACCCACTACAAGAATCCTTACCACTTGAGAAACCCTTCTCAAGATTTTACAAGTATTCACAAAGAATTAAGGAACGAATTCACCTGGAATTCAGAAGCAAATCTTAATCTTCCCCTTTCAAGAATGTGATGATGATGATGATCCTTTCTCAAAGTTTTTCACAAACGTTTTTCTTCTTGGATTCACAAAGAAAACTCTCCAAGATGGTCACAAAGACTCCACAAAAACGCTTTTCTAAATTTGATTCTCAATTCTAACTCTTGTCTGAAGTTTCAAAAAGTTCAAACTATTTATAAAAGTTTCAGACCCAGATAATCGATTATTTTAAAGAATAATCGATTATTTTGTTCTTCAGGTTTTCTGGAAACCAACCAAGAACAATATAATCGATTATTTTGCTGGATAATCGATTATTCTAGAGAGTTATTTCTGGGATAATCGATTATTTTGCAAGTAATCGATTATTGCAGCAAGGCATCCCATTTTGTCTGTTGCTGGAATAATCGATTATATTTAATGATAATCGATTATTTTGAGTTAGTTTTCAAAACTTCGTTTTAAGTCTCAAAATAACTTTTTAGTCCCTTTAACTCATCATCATACACTCTCTAATCAGTTTAGATATAGATTTTTCTTATGCACACAGCACACTCAACAAATAAACTCATTCAACACAATGTACATACTAATCCCTATTACATAGCACTTTCTTTGACTTTATTTTTGTCTTCTAAGTTGTTGTTGTTTGTTGTTGTCCTTGACACACATTTTGTGATCATCAAAACTCTCTTAAACTTTAGAGATAATCTTGATCTCATCAAGTTCAGGCTCCTCTAAGCTCAACATACCTTACCCTCATGCTCCTTCTAAGAAAGAAAATGAAAGACAGTTCTTGAGATTTCTGGATATCATAAAGAAGCTCCAGATTAATATTTCCTTCACTGAAGCCATGGAAAAAATGCCCACTTATGCTCGGTTCATGAAGGAATTGTTGACTAAGAAGAGAAAAATTCTTGAAGAAGAGACTGTGGAGCTTGAGGCAGGATGTAGTGCTATTATACAAAAGTCTCTACCTCAGAAGTCCAGAGATCCAGGCAGTTTCACTCTCCCTGTATCAATTGGTAATTTATCAATGAGTAAGGCACTCTTAGACCTTGGAGCTAGTATCAATTTGATCCCTTTATCAATGCTAAAGAAGATAGGGGAAGTGCAAGTAAGACCTACAAGAATGACCTTGCAGTTGGCAGACAGATCCATCAAGCTTCCACATGGTATAGTGGAAGATATGATAGTGAAGGTTGATAAATTCATGTTTCCGGTTGATTTCATAGTCATGGATATGGAAGAGGATGTAGAAGTTCCTTTGATATTGGGTAGACCCTTTATGAAGACAGCTCGAGTGATCATTGACATGGATGAAGGAAAGCTGAAGGTGAGGGTCCAAGATGAGGAAGTGAGTTTCAATGTATTTGAAGCAATGAAGTGTCCAAAAGGCAACAAAGATTGCTTTAGAATTGATGTATTAGATGATGTGTACTTGGAAGCTCAAAATGATTTCAAGAGCTCATCCCCACTGGAGAAGGCTTTGCTTATTTCTAATGAAGAATTGGATAAGGTCATAGATGAAGAGGTTCAAGATGTTATTGATGCACTAAATAAAAGAGAAAACTCTTCTGCCAATGTTCAGTCAAAAGAAGAATTGAAGAAGGAGGAAAAAGAGCAAGTAGTGAAGTTGTAATTGGATGTTAACGTAGCTGGAAAACACATGAAGTTACAGCTTCTTGAACTTGAAGAAATGAGGTTTAATGCTTATGAGTCTTCTAAGCACTGCAAGCAGAGAATCAAAGCATATCATGATAAGAAGATTTTAAAAAAGAGCTTCCAACCCGGTCAATCAATGTTACTGTTCAACTCTAGATTGAAGTTATTTCCGGGTAAACTCAAATCTAAGTGGTCAGGCCCTTTTTCAATTAAGTCAGTCAAATCATATGGGACTATTGAACTTGAAGACCCTGCCTCTGGAAGGACTTGGTTAGTCAATGGTCAAAGGCTCAAGCACTATCTGGGTGGTGAAGTTGAAAGACTCACTACCATTACTCATTTGAAGGAGCCATGATCATACAACTACTGTCAAGCTAAAAACATTAAATTAGCATGTTCTTGTTTAATTTCTGATTTAAGTTTTGAATTTTTGTCTTGAATAAAGTGCACTTAAGAATTTTTGTTCATAGAGTAGCTTGATTTCAAAATGCATGTTGTTTGATGATTGGAACGTTTGTTTTAGGATACGTTAAGATTGTTGATTTTGTTGAGGTTCTGTTGTGTTTTGTGTTAAGATTCAGGAAGTTATTTTGATGCTTTATAGTGGTGCTACAATGTTTTGGATGTTGGGTCTGTGATGATTTTGATAATTTTGGAGTGTGGAGTAAAATGTCTTTGTTCATAGGGAGGTTTGATTCCATGCTGTTTGTGGTGTTATGATAGGATGTTTTGCAATTGCTGACCCTGTTTGCTTCAAGGCTGATTTGTTGATGGAATGCTTGAAATCTTGTTCTAATGCAATTGTGTGTATGTAGTGCAACAATATGAAATAATAGAAAGGTTTGGAGTTTCAAGTGGGTGTTTCAAGTTTGCGTTTTAAGTCATATTTTTTTTAGGGAGCACAAGCCTGATTTGATGTGTTCTAATGGTTATAAAATTTTGCAAAATTTGAACATGTTGGGTGCACACTTTGTTTATAATGTCTTGGTGACTCTCATTGGCTTGAGCAGTTTTGAGAATTGTGAGGTTAGGAAGTTCTAGGGAAGTCAATAAAGGAATGTTGTTAAAATATGCTTTGAATGGCATACTCATGTGCTTTAAGGCATTTTTTTGTTTCCTAGAACTTTGAAAAATCAATGGAAATTTGTGTTAGAATGATTTTAAGCTTATAAATCAAGTTCTAAGTCTGACCGCTACAGCGATGCATTTGGCGCTATGGCGCTAACTTTCTGAAACAACAAAGCATTTTAGCGTTGGAGCGCCAGTTTTAGAGCTACAGCTCTAACTCTCTGCCTTGGTAGTATATAGTTGCTTAAGCTTCATCGCTTCAGTGTGGAGATTCACGGCCATAGCGTTAAGGATCATTGGCATTGCATTCTTTCTTCTATAGCTTCAGCACCAAATTCGCAGCTATAGCGCTAAATCTGGGGCAAAACATTGTTGGTGCAAGAAAAATCCCACCGCCCCACCGCTAGCTCCATAGCTAAAGCGCCGACTCCCTGGAACCCCACTTGAAATTCAAATTCCCAGTGCTGGAGCACCAGTTTTCACAGCAATAGCACTGATTTTCGGCCTGGGCTTGTCACTCTTTTTCTCCCTCTACCTCTTTGTCTCTCTTTTTCTCTCATTCATGAAACCCATTAACTTCTCCACACTTCAACTTTCCCTCACATTTCCTCTATAAAGTTCCCACTTTTAGGCACCAAGGTTCCATTTTTCTTAAATCATTTCACTCAAAAGCCTCAAAGAGCACCCTATTCACGTGGATTTCAAGGTGAAGCCTCAAAGAGCATCAAGGTTCCATTTTTCTTCTCTTCATTGCATGAGAAACGTGAGTGAGCTCTTTTTCTTTTATGACCAAGATTTATGATTCCTTGGTGGATTATTTTGATCAATAGAGGAGTGGTTTATGTTCATCCTCTTTTTGGCCTGCAAAGCATGAATTTGGGTGTTTGAGTCTTCAATATGGCACATGCATGAACCTTCTCATTTTCTGCCTGTTTTGTGCTCGAAGAAATGCCTGAATGAGAAAAGTATTTGATTTGAACACAATGAAAGCTTTGAAAAAGGTGGTCCCTGAAATGTTCCATTTTGTGAACCATTTTGAGCCTTGCATGGCAAGAATTCACATGCATGTTGTTTCTCCTTATCATGTCCATCAATTGCTTGGTCAAATGCCTAAGTGAATATGTGTTCTTTATCCAAAGTGTGAAGTCATTGATCATTGGAGTTAGTAGTAAATATTTGCTTGTTCATTGGTGGCTTTGAAATAACTTTAATGCTTCACATGTTAGAATGTTTATTGATCATTCCTTATGCCCCATGAAGAATTCTGTTTTGTTTGTATGATCAACTTGTGGATTAACTTGGTTGCAAGAATTGGTTGTCAAATTTTCAGATAGTTCGTTCAAGAGGTGGCGGTTCAAGCGGAAGCTCTAACGCCACTCATAAAATCCCAGCTGCACCAACCCCACCACCACCATCTAAAGTGGCCTGGGGACAGTCCTATATTTTTTGGAGGGGGTGGAGATCAAGGCGAACAACTTCATGGTGGGGAGTTGGAGCACGAGCAGGCAATGATAAAGAAGGAGATGATGGAGGGTCGTTGTCACCCTCGTTCTGAGAAAGAGGAGTTTCGCTTTAATTTTATGCCATTTTAAATTCTATTCATTTTAAATTCCAATTGTTTTAGTTTTAGTTTTGTTAATTGTTTGGACTATCTGGTGTTTTATATAACTTTTCTGAATTAACAATCAAAAAAAAATTTGGGAAAAATTGAAAATCATTCTTGAAAGGTAGGAAATGAGATGGCTTTTAGATCAACAAAAAGCAAAAACACATCTTTTGATTCACTTAAAAATGGTTTGTTGTGAGGCTTGCTTTGAGGTTGCACTCATCCAATTTGTTTGATCATGAAGTTGTGAGATATTTGATTAGCATGGCATGAAAGATCAATAATTGAACATTTAGCTAAGCTGGTGAGTGAGAGAGACTAAACAATGCATTTATCATATACACTTCTACTTTGAGAGCCATCATCATAATATATGTGTTTGCATTGGTTGAATCTTGAATGATTGCTCTTGTGAGAAGTTTTGGACAGGATCAAGGCATTTTAGCCATTCCATTGTGCATAATTGAATTCTTCTTAAGCCTAGAGCCAAACAGTAAACCATAATTGAATCCCTTCCTTGAAGCCTGTTTTAGCCTTAGCCTTTAGTCAACCTTAAGCCCATGCCAAATACCAACTCTTCACCCTAACCAAACTCTTGAGAGTACAATGAAAATGAATTGGGGATTAAGTTGGGGGAGTTGTTAAAATTGCTAAGGTTGAAAGGAAATATTGAAATCAAAATAGTGCAAAGTATGAAGGAAAGAGTCACCCCTCTATCAACATCATTGTTCAAATTCAAGTCAAAAGTAGTGCTTGTGCTTGTTAGTTTTATTCCATTGTCCCAAAAAATAAAAAAATCAAAAATCAAAAATCAAAATCAAAATCTAAGCAAGCACTTGCACATGAAGTCTCGAAAGAGAGGGGTTTCTTAAAATCTAGGCAGCAAATTTTGAGGAAAAAGGGTGTGTAAGGAAAGGAAGAATTTGGGCTGAGAGATTTGGTTGGAGTTGAATATTAAGAGTGAACAAGATGGAGTGTTTGGTTTATTTGCATTTTACTCTCTTGAGTTTAAACCTTTGTTCACCTGAAAAACCACACTTCTTTGCTAACCAAACCTCAGTAGAACCTTAAAAAAGTCCTTGTGATCCTTAATTTTCTCTCAAGGGGTGGTAATGAAGAGATGATATCAATGATTATGTTTATAGAAATGATGAGTGGAATTGAGAGAAACACTCAGCCTGGAGAGTTATTCTTATGAGAGTATGTTCAATTATTGGTTCATAATGTTTGTGTTATGAATTATTTTGCAATCTTTTTGGTTGAGCATGATTGGTTTTGTGGGCACCTCAGTGAGTAAAAAATGATTTTTGATAGTGAATTGATTGAGTGTTGGCCTATTGTTGATACAGAAGCAATCTCATGATGGGAAGTTTTCTTGTTTTGATTGGTGTTTTGTTGGGGACCAACAAAAGATTAAGTTGGGGGAGTTGTTGAGTGTCTTTTATTCCTTATTTACACTCAACTTTTGGTACTCTTTTTGGTAATTTTAGATAGTTATATATGTTATTTTACCCCCCTAAATTGGAAGAATTAAGTTATATTAAAAGGATAGAAGAGTAGTAGCAAAATCTTAATGAATTTCCTCCATTTGTGCAGAAAAATTGAGAAGGCAGAGATCCACAGCCATAGTTGTGGATCTGGAGCTCGAGCTGTGGAAATATGGGAAGGAATTAAAAGGCCAGAAAGTTGCAGCTATCCCTGTGGATCTGCAGCTATAGCTGTGGAAATCTGGAATTCGAATTTGAAGTTCTAGAGATTTGAAGCTAAAGCTGTGAACTTACAGCTAGAGCCATGGAGCACCCAGGACCCAGAAAAAGTTCCAGAGATCCACAGCCATAGCTGTGACTTCACCGCTGCAACACTGGAGGTTCCTTAAGCTTGAAAGAGTTTCCTCAGCTATGGCTGTGAAACCACAGCTGCAGCGTTGGAGGTTTCTTCACCTTAAAGGACTCTCCACAGCCATAGCCGTGGATCTACAGCTGCAGCTATGGGGAAAAAAATCATTTTTTGCCCCTGTTTTAAAGCTCATATAAAAGGGGGAAAATGAAAGAAATAAGGCATCACGAACAAGAGAGAGAAAAACAAGATTGAGACCTCAGAGAAGAGAGAAACAAAGCAAGAACGAAGACTTGGGCAACTGGGTCATTTGGGAACGAAGCCCAACCCCTTGTTTTCACCTCCCACTTTGTAATCTCTTCTTTTACTTCTTATATCTTGTAATGGCCATGTGTGGCTAAACTCATTAAGGATTGGTTGGATGTAACTACTAACTCTTCTTCTTCTTAAATATATGCATTTTAATC